CAGCTGCATGGATCATGGAGGTACGAGCGACCTCCATGACTAAGCCAATGCGGCGCTCAGCAACCCCATTCTGCTGCGGAGAGGCCGGAAGCGTGAACGACTGGGTGATGCCGTGCTCCGCACAGTAGGCTGCCAAGAGGTCGGAGGAGAACTCACCACCTCTGTCAGAGTGCAGACGTAGGACAGGAAAGTCCGACCGGAACCGCTCACGGAGCTGGAGACGAACAGCGCGGATCCAGGGGATCAAAACAGCAGGGACATCCGCCTTGGTCCGCAAGGGGAAGACCGTGGTGTAACGCGTGTAGTCGTCGACAACCAGCAGGAAGTACCGCTCGTGGCCCGGTCCCTGGACGCGGGCTGGGCCCCACACGTCCAGGTGGAGCGTCTGCAGTGGAGCCTCTGTGGGAGGAAACGAGGAGGAGTGAGGAGCAGCGCGTTGCCGCCCCTCGACGCAAGGAATGCAGGGCGGCGCAGGCGAGGGAGGGAGGGCAGGCAGAGACCTGGGGAGACCAGAGACCAGGGAGCGAGAGTGCATGCTACGCAGGCGAGGCAAGGAGGGGTGACCAAGGCGGTGGTGCCACAGGAGAGTGTCGTGTGACAAAGTGCGACACTCGCATGGGGCTGCCAGCTGACCAGACTGAAGGTAACCGCAGCGGTAGGTGGGCCCGAAAAAAAACGGTCCTACGGACCTTAGTGCTCTGATACCATGTTAGAATCTAGCAGCAGGAATGACTGAACTAACAGGATGCAGGAGTACAAGTAGTAAACCCTAATTGGGTTGTACCCCATATGGGCTACCCCACTACAGCCTAGACAATATGCAGCACATATAGTTTGACAGTATTAGTGTTAGCCCTCAATCTCACACTTTGTATTTTGTACTTTCTATATCCTAGTGTAGTGTAGTTTGCACTGTGTGCTTGGTTGGGTGTACACCCGCATCCCAACCAAACCTAAATGTAATCTCCAGGCAATCTCCATCCCACCAATTGGAGATTGCTTTGGGATTACCCTCAATCCCTAGAGATTGTCCCAGATTTTCCTTCCCATCTATTCCTTGCTCATCCTGGATGTACTTAAAGAGCTTCAAGCTCATTACTAATGCATGGATTCTAAGCTCTAGTTCTGACACTGCCTTCTTGCTGCTAACACGTTCAACATCAAATGATTAACTTTTGAAGTGGTAACTGCTGCAGTGGTCGCTCTCAAAGTGGAAACGTGTCCAGGTGATAGCGTGTGAGAGTGAGTCATCATAACTGGTGTGAGTTTATCAAGTAGCATCAAGAATTGGAAGTGATTTGCAGTGATGTCAAGGTGGTAGCATAGCATAGTGGTGCAAGAGTGGTAACATGCCAAATTGGTTGCTTTGCATCTCTCTCTTAATCAGCGATGCTCACTCCATCTTCTGGCTGCTGATGCATCCCTCTCTGCCCTCTCGCCTGTCGCTGACGGCTCTTTGGTTCACTCTTCTGAACGGTGATTTATTAGGCACCTCAAAAACTCCCCTTGCCCGCTCGCTCGCATGCGCGCAGGTGTTCCGCTAGACAGCTCTCTAGTTCATTCTGCTCAATGATGCCACAGAGGAAGCGGTGAATGCGGAGATGCTCACAACCATTCAGACGGTCAGTCAACCTTGCTTTTGAGTTCAAGGCGCAACATTCCGCTTAGCAGGTCTTGCCATGCTTTCTCTACATGCATACATAAGCGATCAACCAATGATACCAAAAATGGTCAATGTGCATGCCTGCCTGACGCATTCAGGAGTAGTGGGGGTGAAGCAACGCATGCACAAAAGGGGCTAGGGAACGTGCAGAACCAAGTTCTTTCCTGCGTTTAGCAGAGCCCTCTTTTTCACTCTGCTGACTTAATGTCACCCAAACCCCTCGCTCCATGTGCCATCATATAAGTTCCTGCCGCTGGTCTACCAAATGGCATCACGCATGAGCGAGCGAGACCCCCACGGCACACCGCCACTCCACCCGAAAACATCCGACTTCCAGGTGGGTGGCGGACAGCTCAGCTCAGCTCCCCCAAAGGCTGCAGCACACACTTCAGTTCCAATCTGACCATCTTTACCAAAACTGCCGCTAGGGCATCCATACATTCAGATGGTCGGGAAATAAATCTGTTGCCTTGTTGTCAGGCCATGCACAATCTCTGTGTTTAGCAAGCGCAACCCAAGGCATGTCCTCAATCACTCACCATGCTTGCGATGCATGCTGCACCATGTGGAGAGTCACTCTACAACGGTAGTGAGCTAGACTACGGGGTTGGCACGAACGACTAGGAGTGATCGTAGCATTGCTTGGTTCCTTAGCGCTTGCGCTTGCGCTTGCGCTTGCGCTCTTGCTCGGCAAGAGTTTCACTAGGCAAAGTTGGAATTACAGAATGATTGAACAAGCAATGACAACAATGACTACATCAGGCACCTAGCAACTCTGCAGCTAGCCTGGTCGACCGCCAGCACAGCTTGGTCGACCGCCTGCCAGCGTTGCGTAGAGGAGCCGCGCCAGCACTGCGGAAAGGCGACCTGCCAACAGAGCAGGTCGACGGCGTGCCAACGCTGCAGCACAGCGGTTGTCCAGCGTTGCCCCGTAGAAGACAGCAGTGCGCACGCTTGCAGGTGCGCGCAGACGATTGGCCCGACTTGCATTGCTGTGCATCCGTCGGCTGTTGTCTGCGCCTGACGTCCCACATCGACTTCGGGATACCAGCCCGAAGTCGCCTTCGCCATCGCGACCTCGACGACGTTCGCGTGCCTCCGCAGAACTCGTCGAGCAGGTTACCCGGTCGACCTGGACACCACCAAGTGCTCTGGTCGACCACCAGTGCCTCCGGTCGACCACCAGGTGCCTCTGGTCGACCACAGCTCCCTCTGGTCGACCACCAGGTGCCTCTGGTCGACCACAGCTCCCGTCGAGCTACCCCCTGGTCGACGGACCCCTTCCGGCGACCAGAACTGTCAGCGGTTGTCGCCGAGCTCCCCTCGTCGACCGCTGCTCACTTGTCAGGTCGACGGCTGCTCCGTCGACCTCCCCGGTCGAACTGTAGGTCGATCGGCAACTCCGTCGACCTCCCGGTCGAACTGCCCCTCCTGGTCGACGGCCCACCCGTCGCCCAGACTAGTCCGTCAGTTGCAGCTGTCGAGCTCCCTGGTCGACAGCAACACCACAGCGGTCCCCTGCAGCTCGACGAAGCCTGTCGAGCAGCTCTCCCACTGTGTACGGTCGGTAGCTACTCCCGTACCTCCGACCAAGTTGTCGGCGTTGCCCAAGCGAGGGCGGGGCCAACACTCCATTCCCGTTAACACACTGCACCTGCAGTAACCAGATCATGCACAATGCAGGTGCTCCTTGCTCTTCTCCCCTCTCCATGCTCTTTGCCCCTTCCTGCCGTGCCCTCCCCCTCTCCCCCCTCCCCCTTCCCCCTCTCCCTCCTCTGCAGTCAGTGCTGACAACGCTCATCAAGCGAATGACAGACGACCATCCGCTGCACACCGTGCATGTGGTACGCAATGCACGCACCACTTCTCCCAGTGTTGGAGTGGAACAACGATGTTGACAATCTATTTCACAGCTGTGCATGCATGCATGCAGCACCATGGTGCACTCTGTGCAAGCACACATTTGAAACTTTCATCTTTTCCCCCATCCTCCAACCGTTCTCCCCATTCTCCACCTCATCCTCTCCCCATCCCCCCTTTCCCCCCGCAGCTCATGGCACTAGCCAATGGCAACAGGGTGTGCAGCAGTCAGCGCGGGTGCAACCTCTTTGTCGTGGATGAGGACAAGATCCGGGCGGCAAAGGCTGTCCTGGGCGGCATGGCTGAGCGGCACAAGCCAATGCTGGATGAGGTAAAACAAGAACAGACTTGCTGCGATATGGTGTGATTCAACTGTAAGTGTGCAGTGCAGTTGCTGCCACAGCCACTTTTGAGTATTGGTGAATGTGATGTGCAGTTGCTGGAAGAGCCTAGCATTCCTCTTTCACTTGCTTCCCAGCCACCCTCAGCCAACGCCCTCTCCTCAGTGGTGGAAGAGGGAAAGTGGTGCGCCAGCTTTGCTCAACCAGCAGCCCGCTTGCCAACCACCGCTTCCCTTCCTTCCCCCCTTCCCCCCCTTCTCGCCCTTCCCCCCCCCCCCCCCCCTCCCCCTTCCTCGTGTGACCTCCAGATGCAGCAGCTGATGGATCTTTACATCCGCCTGGCGGAGATGGATACCAGCAAGGAGGTGGGTGAGGTTCGGTGGAATGCGGTAACAGAGTGTATGAAGAGGTACACGGTGGCTATCCACTTGTGACTCTTCCTCCAGGGCCTCCCTCACCTCGCACATTCTCTGTGCTGTTCACTGCCACCTGACTTGCTATCTGCTTCATCCTTCTCCTTGCTCCACTGGATTACTGCTCTCCACTTTCTCCTCCTCGTTCTCGATGCACTGATTCTCCTCCATCCCACCTGCCTCAGGATCTCGTGCGCTCAAAGCAGCTTCCGAGAAACTTCCGCAGCTTGAAGGATCTCGTACGAGTGAGTCACTGCCTGCGCAGCCACGTGTTGGAGATGCTTAACCAACTTACTTTTGATGAGTCCCTTAACCAACCAATGAGTGACTTTCCCACTCAAAGCTATGCATGTATGAACAGTAACATGTCAGAGATTCCAATCGCTTCACAATTAGGATCGATCCTCATTCATAGCAGGCAGGGCTGCCGGCTCAGCTAGGCTGACAGGGCTGCTGACTCAGCCAGGCTGAGTATGTCATGCTGAGGGGATCTGTGAACGAGTTACACAGCGAATGAAGGCAGAGTGGAGGGCGCGCTTATCTAGTAGCCCAGTTGTCAGTGCCCGTTCCTCTCCCTCCCCTCTCACAGTCTGATTCTTTGTGTATCACCCGTGCAGGAGCTGTGAGGCTTTTCAGAAAACGTCTCCTTGTCCTCCTGCCTGCCGCCCGCTCCCTGCAGGTGCCGGTGCTCACAGCCTCGGTGCCTGTGGACCGCACCTGTTGCTATGCCTCGGGGTCCTTCCCTGCCTTCTGCGGACTCAAGGACAGCATGAGGTGAGTGGGCAACGCGCTGCTCTCTCTCTCTTGACTCTTGAGAATCAGGCGAATTCAGATTTCTCATAAGTCGCCACCAGGGCTCAATGGACCTCCTCCCCACGTGATACGTGCCGCTTTCCTCTTCCTCCTCCTCCTCCTCCTCCTCCTCCTCCTCCTCCTCCTCCTCCTCCTCCTCCTCCTCCTCCTCCTCCTCCTCCTCCTCCTCCTCCTCCCCCTCCTCCTCCACCTCCTCCTCCTCATATCCGCCCCCCTTTCCCCACGGCCTAACCTCACCAGGGTGATGACGTGTTGAATGCGCCCAAGTGGGTGGAGTGGGCGAGGTCGAACGGCCATGCCTTAGCACATCAACCACGCTGCCTTCTCCTCCTTCCACCTTAACTCCCCCACCACCAGGGTGATGCACGGGGTGAATGCGCCCAAGGTGGTGGAGTGCATGGGGTCAGGCGGCCGTGCCTTTCCGTGCAACCACGCTGCCGCCCTCTTTCCTCCTCGTGTCTCGTCCCTGCAACCCCTCTCCCTCTCTCCATTACTACAGGGTGATGCACGGGGTGAATGCGCCCAAGGTGGTGGAGTGCATGGGATCTGATGGCCGCGTGTACAAGCAGCTCGCTAAGTCGGGCAACGACGACCTGCGCCAGGATGCTGTGAGTGGCATGGCATGGCAACATCTTGTGAGTGGCATGGCATGGCAACATCTTGTGAGTGGCATGGCCTGGCATTCTGTGAGCCTTTGGCATGGAGTGCATGGGGAAGGACGGCCACGCGTAAAAGCAGCTTGCCAAGTCGGGCAACGACGACCTGCGCCAGGACGCTGTGAGTCACTTCTTTCTGCCTGCCTTGAGTTTACTGTGTCTAGTCTAGGCAGGAGTGGCTGCATCTCTACCCACTGTCCCTCTCTCCCCACCATCCCTCTCTCCCCACTGCCGCTCTCTCCCCACTCAATCCCCCACTTTCCCACTTCCCACCTCACCCTCACCAGGTGATGGAGCAGCTGTTCGGGCTGGTGAAATTCCCCCATCTATTCACCCCCGCCCTCTCCCCACTCCCCATCTCTCCCACCTCTCCCCACCTCTCCCCACCGCGCCCCACCAGGTGATGGAGCAGCTGTTCGGGTTGGTGAACTCATTGCTGCAAGCCCATGAGGGGGCCACCAGGCGCCACCTCGCCATCCGCACGTACAAGGTGACTCCCTCTCTCTGCGCCTCCTGCATGGCACTTGTGCATTCCAGCCCGCAGTGTCAGTGCATGCAAGCCCATGCGGGGGCCACCACGCATCATTCCTCTCCATCTGCTCCCTCCCTCTGCCATCTGCTCCCTCCCTCTGCCATCTGCTCCCTCCCTCTGCCATCTGCTCCCTCCCTCTGCCATCTGCTCCCTCCCTCTGCCATCTGCTCCCTCCCTCTGCCATCTGCTCCCTCCCTCTGCCATCTGCTCCCTCCCTCTGCCATCTGCTCCCTCCCTCCGCCATCTGCTTCCTCCCTCTGCCATCTGCTCCCTCCCTCCGCCATCTGCTCCCTCCCTCCGCCATCTGCTCCCTCCCTCCGCCATTTGCTCCCTCCCTCTGCCATCTGCTCCCTCCCTCTGCCACCTGCTCCCTCCCTCTGCCATCTGCTCCCTCCCTCTGCCATCTGCTCCCTCCCTCTGCCATCTGCTCCCTCCCTCTGCCATCTGCTCCCTCCCTTCACTGTGTGCATCATTCCTCTCCATCTGCTCCCTCCCTCTGCCCCTACCTGCCCATCTCTCTGCCACTTGCCTCGCCCTCCTTCCCCTCTGCACGGCCTGTCAGGTGGTGCCCTTCACTCCCAGCGCAGCTAACTTTTGAGTTGACTCAGAATCACACCTCGCTCTGCCTCCCTCTGCACCCTCCTCCTTGCGCCCCCTGCAATTCACCCCTTCTCCGCATGGCCTGTCAGGTGGTGCCATTCACTCCCAGTGCAGGACTGCTAGAGTGGGTGGATGGCACGCTGCCTCTTGGGGAGTACCTTCTGGGAAGGTGCGTGGTCAAGGGCAAAAGCACGTGCATGCAGCAGGGGCGCTCAACTGGCTGGCTTGCGAGCAGGTGCAGTGCAGGCACTCACATTGAGGTGCAGGCAATCACATTGAGGCGGTGGGGTTGCATGCACAACTAAGTGTTCCCACTTAGCATTTGCGAGTTCTCAGGGACCACTTGCCATGCATATCAACCTGTGAACAACATGGCTTGCAGCTCACATCTCCCCCTATTGAACCCCCAAGCGCCTTCTGCTTTGTATGCACCCTCCCTCCGGCTCCCCAACTCCCGAGTCTCTCCCGCCTTTCCCCAACACCTGGTGACCCTTCTTCCCCTCCCTCCCTGCCCGGTCGCCCGCTCACCTTCTTCTCCTCTCATCGCCCCCATCCTCCCTCTCACCACCCATGTGGCCAGCACTTGCATTGCAAGAGAGGGGCGCAGCACCCTAACTTTCAAGTGTCTCCCTCCGTCCGCCCCATGGTCGGCTCATTTCTATCCCTGTCCCTTCGCCCCCATCCACTCCCTCCCCACCCACGTGGCCAGCACTCGCAAGGGAGGGGCGCACGCTCGCTACGGGGGCTCTGATTGGCCCTTCATGACTTGCCGTGAAGTGATGGCGCGGGTGAGATAGGATGGCGCTGGTAAGATGGGATGGTGCGGGTGAGTTGGGATGTCGCAGGTGATTTGGGATGGCGCAGGTGATTGGGATGGCGCAGGTGATTTGGATGGCGCAGGTGATTTGGGATGGCGCAGGTGATTTGGATGGCGCAGGTGATTTGGGATTGCGCGGGTGAGACCTATGTTGGAAATACGCGCATGGCGTATCAGTCGCGTACGTAATACGCCGGATTGCCAGATTTAAAAACGCTGAGGTTACGCTGTGTCGGGCAGGAAAAAAAACATTCAGGCAGGGGAAAAACACTTCGGTGGAGGTAGAATGTCTCAGGGGAAGAACAGCTCTTCTTGCAGATGCGGATTACTCCCTTGTAGTTTTCGCCATTAGGAACTCTGAAATGTACACTGTGTGTTCATTCAGCATTGATTGCTTGCGAATAAATCTTTGTTTACTCTACCCTTGCTTTGCCTCATCCCCCTCCATTCCCCCATTCGCCTCTATTTCCACATCCATCAACTGCTTACACATGTGCATCGATCCATGCACAGGAAAGTGACAAGAGGCAAGCCTTTGACAAGGTCCTTCAGAACTTCCAGTAAGCCTCACACAGTTAGCCCGTTTCTCTTTACCTCACACAGTTAGCCCGTTTCTCCTTACCTCACACAGTCAGCCCGTTTCTCCTTACCTCACACAGTTAGCCCGTTTCTCCTTACCCCACACAGTTAGCCCCTTTCTCCTTACCTCACACTGAGCCCTTACCGTTCACCTTTCTGTTACGTCCGTGTCACATAAAGGTAGGTCGCATCGGTTGCTGTGTCATTGCTTGTCCACCTGTTCACCCTCTAAATCTCTCAAACCTTCTCCATCCCCTTCCACCTCTTCGCACCCCCGTCCACCGCTCTCCAGCCCTGTGATGCGCCATTTCTTCCTCGAGCGCTTCATGCTGCCTGCCGACTGGTTGGACCGGCGTCTCACATACACTCGCAGCGTGGCTGCCACCTCCATGGTAAGTGACAGTGCATGGTACGCATGTCATGCCACCTCCATGGTAAGTGACAGTGCATGGTACGCATGTCATGCCACCTCCATGGTACGTGACAGTGCATGGTACGCATATCATGCCACCTCCATGGTAAGTGACAGTGCATGGTACGCATGTCATGCCACCTCCATGGTAAGTGACAGTGCATGGTACGCATGTCATGCCACCTCCATGGTAGGTGACAGTGCATGGTACGCATGTCATGCCACCTCCATGGTAAGTGACAGTGCATGGTACGCATGTCATGCCACCTCCATGGTAAGTGACAGTGCATGGTACGCATGTCATGCCACCTCCATGGTAAGTGACAGTGCATGGTACGCATGTCATGCCACCTCCATGGTAAGTGACAGTGCATGGTACGCATGTCATGCCACCTCCATGGTAAGTGACAGTGCATGGTACGCATGTCATGCCACCTCCATGGTACGTGACAGTGCATGGTACGCATGTCATGCCACCTCCATGGTAAGTGACAGTGCATGGTACGCATGTCATGCTATCTCCATGGTAAGTGACAGTGCATGGTACGCATGTCATGCCACCTCCATGGTAAGTGACAGTGCATGGTACGCATGTCATGCCACCTCCATGGTAAGTGACAGTGCATGGTACGCATGTCATGCCACCTCCATGGTAAGTGACAGTGCATGGTCCGCATGTCATG